GATCTGGTAAGACAGAAAGAATTTTATCCAGATGAACACTGCACTTCTCTCATTTTGAGAGAACAAAAGCATGCTTAGGGAGGAGATTGAGCCTAAGAAAAGAGGAGAGGGAGGAAAAAGCAAACGTTATGAAAATGCAAATAATTTCTAGATTAGGGTTTCATATAATGTTGCCCTTTCTGCCACTTGTATTTGGCTTGAAAATCAAAACCAGATTCATTTTTTATTTCTTTTCACAGCTGTGCATTGTTTTTATATTAAGTGGAGTCAGCAAAAAGCAATATTAAAATACCAGTCAAGTGTGAAAAAGCGTAACCTAGAGCAATAAGATTTATACCTGAAAGAATATTAAAGCTGCCATTTAAGATTTTTAAGTTTCAATGCCTTTGACTGGATATCATCCTATCCTCTGTCTGCATAGCTAATGTAGTCTTTTTATTCTGTTATTACTAGTTGGTCACTAAATTGAACAGAGAAATAGAATTGTGAAAGTGAAAACTATTATGTTTCCAGTTCTGACAAGATGATAGTGCTGTTGCTTCCATCAGTTTCCAACAAGCTATAATTTAGAAATAATGACAGTGGAATGCACAGTACTGACAGATAATGTACATTCACTGCAATATAGGCATTAGGCAAAAACAGCCCTGGAGGGTGGTATTTGGGTAAAAATACAATTTTGATTGCTATTGTCTCTACTATGTAGTGGTTTGGAGCATTTAATATCCATTAGTGTTCAGGAATGTTTTTTCTTAGGTGTTACACCATCTAAGCCTATGTTTTTCAGACTACAGAGTTAAAGATTGTAATTCTATGTCCATGCATTTCTGGTTTGTTTTGTTGGTGGGTTTTTGTTTGTTTGTTTGTTTTTTATTTTCCTGTGTCTTTTGTGCTGATGTAGATAGGGGTTCATTTAAAATATGTACCATCTGCTTTCAAAAAATGATGGATTATTGTCTCTAGCTTGAAGTTAAAGTGCACTAACTATTCAGATTTTCCTCAACCTTGTGGTTTATAGAAACATCTCAGTATGTATTCAGTGAGTAAAATTCTTGTAATATTGAAAACATTGCATGTGTAAATCCACACTATTAACTTTTTGCATTTTCCCCTCTCCCCTTTTTGCATACTTGTAACTTACCTTCTGTCATTTATAGGTCAGAAACCTTTTGACCTTTATAGGTCAAGCAGAATTTCCAGATTAGCTGAAATCTCACTTTTTCCAGAAGCTTAGGAACCTCATGGATGTAGAAGGGACACTTAGATTCCCAAGCATCTGGTGGATGATTTATGAAATTAGATTTAATGCACCTTTACAAAAGTTATCCACCATGTCCCTTCACTGATGGTATCATGCTGCCAAGATATATCCACTCTTCTGTTACCTGAAAATAGTATTGAATGTAGCGGTCACCAAATATGAGAGAATTAATTGTCCTGTAAGTTAATCCTCATTACTTTCATGCCAAATGTTAACACACATAAATTATAAAACTAAAGTTTCCAGTAGGCTGCTGGAAACAGAAAGTGAATACATGCAGGCCAAGTACAGGAATCATTAATTGGTTTTGTTGCCCTGTCAAACAAAAATCTCATATACATAGGTATATTCAAATTTCTAGGTTCAGCAAAGACAGTAATGGGGATTTTATTTATAACATGCGAGGTTCATGTGTTTTTGCCAGTGAAGATATTTAACACTATTTTTTGTGCTAAGTAGTTTTGTGGGTTTTTTTTTTTCCCTGTAGGTACGTAAGGAATATGGGAAATGCTTCCGACATTCCTACTGCTGTGGTGGACTACCAACTGAGAGTCCCCACAGTTCAGTGAAGGCATCAACAACAAGAACTAGTGCTCGCTATTCCTCTGGCACTCAGGTAACAGAGTTTGACAGCATCTTTTAATTAACCTTATTTATAAAAAGCCTACTGAGATGTGTTATATTCAACAGTGCACTAATTGTCTTCTCATTATTATCATTTAGATGGCAAATACATACTTCTGCATAATAGAATTGGTTTCTTTTTAAACATTTCCTTTCACTTTGGTCTAATGCAAATACCTTGTTCTTGTTGTAACTGGAGGCTGGTTTATAGGCAGGTTTATATCATCATATTTCGTCTAAATGAAATTAAATAAATTAAAGTGCTAATAACAAAAGAAGGAATTTCGTTGCATGCTAGAAGAATGACTTACTTTAGGCCAAAATAAACACAAATATTCTACATAATAGCACGTAAGTAGGAAAAAGTCTTTTTGTAACTTCCTATGTTTCTGTCTCACTGCTTCATGTTAACAGAGTCGTATAAGGAGAATGTGGAATGATACTGTGAGAAAACAATCTGAATCGTCTTTTATCTCAGGTGACATCAACAGCACTTCAACACTTAATCAAGGTCAGTCACTGGGAACATTTCAGTTTTAGGAGCCTTAAATTTTATACAGATTTTATATCATTAAACACAGAAGAATTGAAAAGAATGTTTGGAAAAAAAAATCTGGAACAAACGTTCTCTAAAAGGAGAGTTTTAAAGTCATCCACCAACACATTTTAAAACCATGTTCCCTCAACTGGCCCCCTGCTATAGAAGTTGAATTCCTCCATTCGTGGGAATGTACTTAAATAAGTTTCATCAATAATTTAACTTAAAAGCAAGATCATAATTTTAAATCTTTCCTAACCTTTATAGGTTAAATCTTAAACAGAAATATGAGTGCAGTAACATTTTAATGCATATTTGACTATGATTTTAGGTGAAGAAATTTTCCCAGTGAAATCTAATTGATATCATTTCTATGCAACAGATGTCTGTAAAGCACTTATCTTTTCTATTTCAAAGAGCATCATATATGTCACATGGGATAGAATCCAGCTTTTCAGGCACACAGAAGCTGAAATTCCAAATTTCTCTGCTCAAACAGACTTTGAAATCTGTAACCTCATTCTCATGTCCACTTAGAAGACAAGGGTATTAACCGAGGCAGAATGTCCCTTCATTTTTCCCTGTCCCTCTGTGTTTTTTTAAGGCAGCTTGAGCTAGCAGTGGAGGGAAGGCTGCTCTATTCAAGCCAAGTTCAAAGCTTTATCTTCCACCCACATCTCTAGAAGAACACGGAGCCCTAATCTCATGTTGACTGTTCCTACTCAACTTAGAGTGTTTCAAATAGAAAATTCACTAGTGTCAGGGCAGCCCTCATCAACCACAACTATTAGGTTTCCCTCCCTTGTTTTTTCTTTCAAGATTTGGTAGAAGGGACAGGTACTTGGCGCATATTCATTTTGGAAGTAAAAAATTTGGTGTTTTACAAAAGAAAAGATTTTAGAAAGCTCAATTCTATTTTTGCTATTTGGCATATAGAAAATAGATGAGACTTGTGTCTCACTGCTCCCCTCATCTGAATCTTCTGTGTTCCTCTGGCAAAATCAAAGTGAAGTAACTTCTCCTAAATAGAAAACGTATATTTTTCATGCCCAAGGAAGAAGTAAATTCCCTCCAGTGTCTTATTAAAATCCCATAAATACACTATAAAGATCTGGGATTTCACTCTAATTTGATGTCTCTGCCTCCTGAGGTTTGCTTTAAGCATGCTGCACCCTCAGTTAATTCAGAGTTAATTCAGGGCTTCATGGAAGCTTCTCCCTGTTTTGGAGCTCCAGTCGCAAGCCACTGGAGATGTTCTGGCATGATCAGAAAAATGGATATCATCTTTATTCAGCTGTAATATTGTCACTGTCTCAGCGATACATACATGTAAGAGTGGTTTAGTAATTAATGGCAAGTGTCCTTTTTTCCTTTAAAATAAAAATCAAGCTTTTAAAGGTGGCAAAAAAAGTTTGATTGAAATTAAAACTTGTCTTAACATTAAATTACAGGTAATAATTCTAACCAAGATTAAATTTAGTACTCAAAAGTAACCTAAGCAAAAGTTTCTTTCAGTTAGTATTTCTAGTAGTAAGTACCTTACAACTGAAAAAAATATATGATAAACCTTTTTTAGTTGTTCATTGATACAAACTTTAAAATACGATTAGCATAATCAGGCAATAAATTTCTGAGTCATAGAATTTTATGCTCATTTCTGCTGCCAAGTTTCTGTGGTAGTACAAAAGCATGAATATTTGGAATATATACTTATCTTCTCCTTGCTAAGTAAAAATATTAATATTATAAAAATATAGCTGGGTCTTTAGTTGTCCTTGGGTCTGTAATACACTGAACCTGTTATACTGCTGTGCAATGCAGTAGAAAGGAAAGTGGAATTTTACCTTAATTGGTAAAATTGGTGGAAGTAAGTTTTAAATCACAGCATTTTATGGTGTTGAGGTTTTGGGGTTTTTTTTGTTATTCCGACTCATTTTTCTTCTGTTACCAAGAAATTAGAGATTAATTGACTTTTTAACAATTTCTCAAAATATGCTGATTTTTTTTTCTGATTATTCTGAGAGTTGTTTAAATGGTGTTGCATTAACATGTAAAATGAGTTTAAAGAAAATCTGTTCATATAGTATTTTGCTTCATCTTACGTTGTTTATAAACTGTTTGTTTAAAGAAAATTTGTCATTCAAGGAATTATTTTTTAAAACATGGTAGATAAATTTGCAGCATGAACGTCCCAGGAGAAAATGTGAATGCTCTGATTTCTTAGAGCAAATATTTTGCTTTCCCCTCAGCATGCATACTTTTGCATATACTAAGATACGCTTCTTGCAGTTTGTCATCCACTGTCTGTTTGAAAACAGCAATTCCCTTCCACTATCCATGTGTTTTTAATAAAGTAAATAACAGCTCTGATCCTGTCAAAAGAGATATTTCAAAACCTTTAATTGGAGAAATTCAGTTCTGTCGATTCTGGACAGAAGTATTCCATGTGATCATTGTAAAATTTATAATAGTTTTATGTAGTACCTCGATCTCTATACATTTAATTGCTATTCTTGTAAAACAGTGATTTTGTATACATTAGTAAATGTCACTCTCACGAGATGTTTACTTTGGGGGTTTGGACAGCACCTGTGAATTACTGGAATCTAACTGTGTTTTCCTGCTCCCATTTCAAATATAGAGCTCAAATACATTCAGAAATTTTCAGGTGAATTACATTTGACAAGTCCTACATGGTTCATGATGAATAAAAAATATTTTTTATTGAAACTGTCAGCCTAAAATTAAAGAACTGACATTTTTTTCTGTTTCTTTTGCTTTAGGAATGACTGGCAATTACCTACTAACAAACCCTCTTCTTCGACCACACGGCACTAACAACCCCTATAACACATTGCTCGCTGAAACAGTTGTATGTAATGCCCCTTCAGCTCCTGTGTTTAACTCACCAGGTGTGCTTATACTTCCTGAATAAAACTGCTTTTCTTGGCTCACTCCAAATCCCTTCTTTTCCCTAGATAGACACTCAAGTTGCAATACCCTAGCCGTACATTCCGAATTTCTGTCAGTTCAAGTACAGTATTGCCAATGTCAGCTTGTAAAACTGCACTATATTATAGTAATGCCTTTGCCATAACAGTATTTACCAATAATTATCCATGTTTTTAACACAGGTGGCATAAATCTTAATATACTATTACAGGACTGACACCACATGGTCCGAGAGCCCATCTTCAAGATATATATCACTTAGAGGTATCATGTCTATGCAATATAAGGTTGACTCTAAAGTGTGCTGAGAAAAACCTGCTTAGGGAATGGATCAGATACTAAAGCAGCACAAGGCATCTTGACACCTTTGGATACCCCAGTGTAGAAATCTGTATCCAGCATCAACCAGATCTAAACTATAGTATAGTGCAGCTTTATGATAGATCATTTTCCTGTAGGAAAATCTTGAGATGAACAGTTAGAACAGTTTAGTTCTGTAGGAATAATGGATGGGTGTCATCGCTTACCTGACATTTTGTTGTTACATTATCTAGTTGCTTTTTTTAACTACAGTGCAATTCATCAGTAAATACATAGCAGTTACTGTTTGTTGAGTCATAAGATCACTTAGTATAACTGGAATGATAAATCTCTGTTAAAGAGCTCATAAAACTTTGTTTCCAGTTTTTATTTCAAGTTTCCTTTTTAACTGAACTGTAGTTTCTATTTTCATTCTCTTGTTTTCTTACTTTCCTTATGCTTTCCTCTAGCAACCTACAGAGAGACAAGTATGGGAGTAAAACTTAACTTTGCCTATCAAATGTAAATTTTTTCAGCATGATTTTTAATGGGCACAATTAAAACATATCTAGTGGTCATGAAGTAGACTCAGCGGGCAAGTGGTTCACAATTTGCAAATGAAATGTTTCCACATAGAAAAAGTACTTGCATACTGCTTCTTGGGAAATGACACGAGCTCTGTAGCAAACACCATTGGTAACAGAAGTTACGCAATGCTGAGATAATTTGCTGTTTAAAACCAAAGCAGTGTCAAACAAAATTGATTAACAATTTATGTACATTTTTACATTCCTACAGTGATCTTGCTACAGGCTATGGAAAGATTTCAAATTAATTACCTGATCATGGACAACAAAATTTGCTTCATCAAAGCAATTTCAATCTATTCTAGCGTGCTTAACTCTGCAGTATATCATAGAAAACTCATTTTGGATTATCACATATATTTTGGTATCTCTTTAGCAGAAGAAAAAAGAATTAAAATTGTAGAATTAAATCACTTTCATGAGGGAAATGAATGCCAGCATGTGGTCCATGTGTTGTCTACTTTTATAAATGCCATATGTTCTGCACAGCTAAATCCATTGCAAGAAAAATCTTGGAACATACATGAAATTGCAAAACTACAAAGTCGTTTAATCAAAGCTTAAGGAGACCTTTCAGACAACCCTCATCACTGTATAAATCAGTACACACGGAGAGGACTTAACAATAACACAATTACAAAATGATTTGCAAATTACTCAGAATTTACTTGGAAATTATTGCTGGTTTTTTTTTCTGGGAAATTATTACTCTACTTTTTTAAAGTTGGAGACAAAAATCTTTTCATGAGAAAATGCAATTACTTTTTAATTGAAAACAATATTTCCAGAGAAGATTGAATTTTCTAGGATAAGCTGCAGCTTTAGTTATGAAAGAAACCCAAAAGAGGAAAATGCATAATCTTCTCCAAAACAGCTTTTTTCTTATACTCCTCCAAGCCTTGCATATAATGCAGCAGCCTCACAGTGGTCAGTCTCATTTCAGTAAAGTCACTCCATTCTTTCTTTACTTTCAGACATATCTGTAGATAAAGTGATTTTGTAGGAATGCTCTAACCATCGACTGTTTAATTTCTTTCAAAGTTGTGGTTTGTTTTTTTTTTTTTCTTTCTTTTTTCTTTGCTTGGGAAGCACTGTGCTGTCATAGTTTACATGTCTTTGTGTCTATAGGAAAACCTTTTCTTTATCGTGTTACCAAAACAAAAAAAAAAAAAAAGCCCAAACCAAAAGTGTAAAGACCTTAATCATCATAAGACTTCATTTCCCTCCCCCCGCCTTAAACTTCTTTTCATGTTTCCAGCAGACTTACCCAATCTGTCATTCCTCCAGCAGCTACGAGTTATCAGCCATGGCTGATTTCCTCTTCCCATTCCACAACTAATATTTATTCTTTAATTTCTGTGACCCATACTGAGAGAAATTCCTAACATTTCTACATTTGACTTCCATGCCCATGGTAACTGTGGGCCTATCTATCTCTTAATTACCTATTCTGGTTCATTCAGCGCTGTCACTGTGACTGATGCAGACTGCAGGCAAACTTTGACCTTTAGAAGCCTGGGGCCGTTGTTGGCAGACAGAATATTAGTGCAAAAAAAATTGCATTGAGTGGGAAAAGAAAAGCTGTTATTGCTTAGTAATCTAATTTGCTGAACCCTTGCTCTGACTAAGTTGCTGAGAAGCTCAGTAATTCTTCATCATGTTACAATAAATCATTTTATTTTCTTTTATATATCAGCTACTCTTAGGCCAGATAGCCTGAGCAGACAGACATGATGTGAGTTGTCCAAAGTGAGTCATTCCACCTGCTGTCTGTTGTGTTGTTGGATGGTGCTTGTGGGCCCTGGTCCCTGTAGTGTGAAAGATGGCTGTCCTTGTTTAACATGAATTCTTTGTATTTACCCATTTTTTTTCATTCTTTTCTTTACTTCATCTCAAAAAAAAAAAAAAAAAACCAAGAAGGAGAAAATGTTAGAAATGTTGTTAAAGTAGTTGCTTGCCAGTTATGTGGGTTTATGTTGTACATTTACCTTCAGTTATGTCTGTGATCTAATTCCTTTTTAATTTAGTGTTGTTTAGGACAAATTCTGTTAATTTTCTTTTTTGAAATCATGGTTGTGTACTTCAAAACATAGATGTTTCCAAATGAATTGCTTTGCATTACATATGCAAGGGCATGGAGTGAACAGTTCCTTGTGGAAGAGTCACAGAATTGACACTAAATTAAGCAATTAAAATGCCACTATTATTCCTCACAGGAAATACACATTACCATTTTCAAAATGCATCTTTCCTATAAGGTGTGCAACAGTTTACATTTGGGGATGTTCAGTAACCTAACTTTTCTCAAGCCTTACTTCCAAGTACAACTTTTGTCCTGAACTACATTAAAGAATTTTGTTTAAAAAAGAAAAATGAAGTGATAAAAAAGCACATCAGGCAATAACCAGAGCTGTCCTTTTCCCTTGCAGGACATTCACTGAACAATGCCAGGGATACAAGTGCCATGGATACTCTACCGCTAAATGGTAATTTCAACAACAGCTACTCGTTGCGCAATGGAGACTATAACGACAGCGTGCAAGTTGTAGACTGTGGACTAAGCCTGAATGATACTGCTTTTGAGAAAATGATCATTTCAGAATTAGTGCACAACAACCTGCGGGGCAGCAGCAAGAACCACAACCTGGAGCGCACACTGCCAGCCAAAGCCGTGATCGGCGGGAGCAGTAGTGAAGACGATGCCATCGTGGCAGATGCCTCGTCTTTGATGCACAGTGACACACCAGGGCTGGAGCTGCACCACAAAGAGCTTGAGGCCCCGCTCATTCCTCAGCGAACTCACTCCCTTCTGTACCAGCCCCAGAAGAAAGTGAAGACCGAGGGAACCGACAGCTACGTCTCACAGCTGACGGCCGAGGCTGACGACCACCTCCAGTCCCCCAACAGAGACTCTCTTTATACGAGCATGCCCAATCTCAGAGACTCTCCGTATCCCGAGAGCAGCCCAGATGTTGAAGAAGATCTCTCTCCCTCCAGGAGGAGTGAAAATGAGGACATTTACTACAAGAGCATGCCAAACCTAGGAGCTGGCCATCAGCTTCAGATGTACTATCAAATCAGCAGGGGTAATAGCGATGGCTATATCATTCCCATTAACAAGGAAGGATGTATTCCAGAAGGGGATGTTAGAGAAGGACAAATGCAACTAGTGACAAGCCTTTAATAGTGTAGCAAAGAAATATTAAAGGCCACTTACAAGTATTAAAAAGACTTAATTGGCCCCATGCAGGCTTCCTCATACCTGCTTGAAGAGACAATTCTGTTGACCCTGTGGTTCTCCGGTAACAGGGATGACTGGACCTCGCAGTTCTGTGAATTTTTATAAAACAAAAACTTTGTATATACACAGAGTATACTAAAATGAATTATTTGTTACAAAGAAAAGAAATACCAACAAGGTATTTTAAGATATCTTCTGCTGCTGAATTTAACAAAATTGTGAAAAAAAAAAAAAAAAAGAGGCAAATAAACACTTTCCAGCCATTTTACTGCAGCAGTTTGTGAACTAAATTTGTAAATATGGCTGCACCATTTTTGTTTCTAGGCCTACATTGTATTATATACAAGGCGTAGGCTCTAAAATCCTGTGGGACAAATTTACTGTACCTTACTATTCCTGACAAGACTTGCAAAAGCAGGAGAGATATTCTGCATCAGTTTGCAGTTCACTGCAAATCTTTTCCATTAGGGCAAAGATTGAATACATGTCTAACCACTAGCAATCAAGCCACAGGCCTTATTTCATATATTTCCTCAACTGTACAATGAACCGTTCTCATGAAAAAAATGGCTAAAGAAATTATATTTTGTTCTATTGCTAGGGTAAAATAAATACATTTGTGTCCAACTGAAATATAATTGTCATTAAAAAATAATTTTAAAGAGTTTGAAGAAAATATTGTGAAAAGCTCTTGGTTGCACATATGTTATAAGCTGTTTTTCTTACACTCTGTTCATAGTATGGTAGTATGTTTAAAATGCAAGTTCTACCCTTTTTCACTTATTTTTCACTGTAAACAGTGTTCTGCTTTGACAGGTTAGTTTTTGTTCTTACAGTTTTGAATTTTTATTGCCAAAAACCATCATTTGGGGAGAAAATTGTTTTAGAAGCCGATTATGCCAAGCCTTGCACAAATTTGGTATAGCTAACAAAGATTGTAACTCAATTCCCTGTTCATTCTTTAATCAGGGTTGGGTGGTAAGGGGTAAAGGGGACACTGGACACTTCTCACAAGCTTTCTCGTGAATAAAAGGTGCCTGTCCTTTAAAAAAAAAAAATAAATAAACCAGAACTATTACTCTTCCATATTCCTTCTGCCTATATTTAGTAATTAATTTATTTTATGATAAAAATCTAATGAAATGTAAATTGTTTCAACAAAATTCTGCTTTTTCATCCCTTTGTGTAAACCTGTTAATAATGAGCCCATCACTAATATCCAGTGTAAAGTTTAACACCTGTTTGACAGTAAATAAATGTGAATTTTTTTTCCAAATAGGTAAAATGTGCATTATTATGTATGAAGCATAATTGGCATCAGCAGTCCTTCGACCCCACTGTATCCTGCTCAGAATGGCTTCTTTACATTTCATGATTTAAGTGTCGAGAATACAATACAAACTATATAACTCTACAGAAGAGAGAGGTCATCTTTTAGATGACTCTAGACAGAGTTGAATAGGATGAAACTCAGACATAGCAGAGTCATTAGGAAAATGTACTGTAATTTCATATATTTACATAACGTTTAAGTAGGCATCTGTACTGAAATTAAAAATAAGGTGGCAAACACCACTATCATATTCTCAGCAACAGTAATTAGCAGTTAATTTTTAGTGATGAAGATACATTGTTGCAGTGAGGAAAACATGAATAGGCAGCATTGGAATAGCACTCTTTGTGCTATCTAAATAATTAATCCATCATGGCACTGTGTGGAGTTACATAAATAAGCTTGACTGTCCCTATTTTTATCAGACTAGAGAACTGCAGAAGACAGATGATGTCCAAGATGTTAGCTACAAATCAGTGGCAAAACTGGAAGTTTGAAGTCTTTGCTCTGTTGATTCCCAAGCCTCTTGTCTCTCTCTACCTGGACCTCTGAAAGAAAGCCAAGGACTTCATTTGTCACCACTTCCAAAATTGTGTTCTTCCAAATAACTTTAAAATCAATCCCCTGTCATCACAGAGGCCATGGTTTCATTTGTGGTCACTGTAACTGTATACGATAGCAGCAAGAAATCATTTGGAAGCTGTATCAATTCTGTTACCTTCTAATGCACTGGAATATACACAACGCATCTGGAAAATAAAATGATTTGTTTTGGAAAAGTTTGGATTTCGGAATAATATTTTGGGCAAGGCTTCCTGCTGTTGAGGCAAATCAAACTGAAAAAAAAAACAAAAAACCCAAAAAAAACCCAAACCACACCAAAAAAAAAAACACAAACAAAAACGAAAAAACGAGTTGCTGAGATGGAAACATAGAGTTCCAGTAACCCAAATGTACCTGTATCAGGACTGTGACACTATGGCAATTGTTCTTGAAGAAAAAGGCATTTTCACCATTGATCCTAGTGGTAACTGTTGCCAGTACGTTAATCAGAAACTGTTTACTTCTGTTTAAGTAGAGATGCTTTAAAAATCTGAGGTCTCTATGAAATAAGAATTTATTCTGATTCAGGGTATACAGCAGACTCTTTGGAGCAAAAATGATTCCCTTGGTCTGACTGACAACTTAAAAGCGTACTTGCTGCCTTCTACCTAGGAAATCATGTCCTAGGGACTCAAAAATGTGGTGCTTAAGTAAGTACAGTACACATGACCTAATAACATCACCAGCTTTCAGCAGAATGTTCAACTCTAGTTCGATCAAGTACTCCTTTGTGTCTAACTAAAGATGGCAAAACTACATGCTGAATGGTTTGTAGCGTTGTGATCTTAAATATATATCCAATTGCAAATGTAACAAGTCTTCATAAAACAAGAAAAAGTAGCTGATGAACCTAAGATGAACCAGCTGAACCTAAGTATCATAAGGGAATTCTTTTGTTAGCTCCTTTGTAATATAGATGTTGCTTTTTAGTGAGCCTGTTTTGTTTTTTTTTTTAATGTTAAGCTAGTGAGTGTCGTGTGTTTAGCTAGCAGCTAGCAGCCGATACCTTTCCAAATTTCTGTTGGTGTAACTTCAGTGTATTAGGTTACAGTATAATTATATAGCTGGCAGCTTATTGTAATTTCTTTATGTTCGCTTCTCACATTCCTACCATCTTGTCTTGGGATCAGAAGGACAGAAGAATTCAGAGGAAGAGTTCAAGAACAGCAAAATAATGACAGCAGAATTAATGGCAACAAGTGTTTCTTCAGGGTCATCAGTTAACCAGTTCCTATGATGGTGCCAAGGATATGCTGCCGTTTTAGGCACTGTCTTTCAGAAGAACTGTAATTCTCTTATGGATAGTAATCTCCTGTTAGAGTCAATGTTAACACTACTGGCTCAGTTCAATTCTTCCTTGTAACTTCAGTCCAGTTAATATTAATTCCTACAAAAGATTAAATGGGATGTGCATTGAGTGAACTGTTGTATAATGGTGCTATGCATTGTTTAATATAAAATACATCTCAATTCTACATAAGTGAACCATAACATGAAGAAATGCAACACTGGTAATACCTTTATAGTTAAAAATTAACCATTTTCTGTTAATTCTATAATACACCTTTTGCTTCTTTTAAATTTGAAATGAAATTATTAATAAAGTTTACATATATTCACTTATGTAGGCAATAAAAGGTGTTTCTAAGTGACATAAGTTATGGATAAAATACGTGTCATATTTTATGTCCTAATTTTTGAGGAACTTTTTTTCTGAATAATTCAGAACAGACATTAATAGAACAAGAAAAAAAAAAGTAAACAGTCTCTGCGTACTGTTGTTATCCCACTCTGCCTCCAAACTAACAAAAATTGTGTTCGAGAGTTGATTATGTGACAACATATGCTAGTGTAAAGTTTTATCCCTGAAAAATATTACTTGTTAAATCAATAGAAGCTACAGGTAGACAATT